GGTGCCCTTGTTGTTGGTGTCCTAGTTGGTGTCCTTGTTGTTGGTGTCCTAGTTGGTGTCCTTGTTGGTGTTCTAGTTGGTGTCCTGCAATTATTGGAAAATGAAAAATTCAAACACAAAATTACGTTTATTACATCATGTAAATCATTTATTGTAATATGTAAATATACTGGATGAATATTCTGTTGATGAGCTAATTTCGATATTGATATTATATATATATTAATGTTTGTTGGTTTCACATTTATTTCCACTTTGCAAATGTAATTCATTTTAAAATAAGAATCAAAGTGAATTCATTTTATTAAATTTTCATATGTACAAATTACTATTGTAATAATTTTCAATGAGAGTCAAAATGAAATGAATGTTCAGCAAAGTGTTGAAAAATGTTTTGAATATTGTTCAATGCTGTTTAAATCACCATGAGGAATAGCCGTGGTACAGACGATTATGGCACAGACAGCGGTAAAAGCAACGAAGAATTTCATTTTTGCACTTTTTTAGATGAACTGTTCAGTTTGAAAATAAATTTCACTTTGATCATTTACCACTTAACGTGGACTTTTTATAGCGTGCTTCTGCTCGCCAATCATGCGAAAATATCTCATGTATATGCAGATAATAATAAATGTTGGCATTCCCTTTGGGTTTTTCCACCGCGTTGTAATGTAATTTTTTCATTTTCAATTCCAAGAACCGATTGCCATTTTTGCCTACATCATCATTGGCTCAAAATATCAAATCACTGAAATGCGCATGCAAAAAAACAAAACAAATTAAAGCATTCTGACATTATGTTATCAATGCTACCAAATTTCGTTTTGAATCTCAAAAAATATGATTGTGCTTTTATTATTCCCCATAATTGGCACTTCAGCAAGTGATACTTTGAAGAAAAAAATACTTTCAATCTAGGGGGTAGACACGTGGAATAGGATTAGGCTTTTAGTGTAAAAATTTGAGAAATTAAAGTGGAATAGATAATTCAGTAACTGGATTCATATGGATTTACTAATCTCATGTATGGGATGGCGAAAATGGGTTAGATTCAATGTTTTTGTAATCGATAATACAGAATTTGATCAAAGCATTGAACTTTTTTGATATAGTCATTTGTTCTTTTTTGAAATATTTTTTAGTTTAAAAGTCGAATATAAATTTACAAAACAATAGATACACTTTCTCAAAATTTTATTGATGAAAAAAATCATTTGAATTATCAATAACAAAATGTCATACTCCAGTGTTGATAAATAAGTTTTCAACAAAGTGAATAGCGTCGGAATGTGACATCATATTTGACAATGAAATGACGGATTGGTGGAATAGTGGGATTAGTTTATATATTTGAATCATGGTTTAATCGTTTGTGTCTCCCCCCTAGCTTTCACTATTGAATTCACCATTTTTCTTATTCTGAATTGAAAAATGCTATCAATTCATTTGTAATTCCGTTACAAATGACATCAGTCACTTAAGTGACCAATTGGTATATACATTCGGGTGAAATAATAAAATAATAAATAAATTTTCGATGCACTTTTCATACAAATATTTGTGAAAATGGCCAAAAATGTGGATTTTTGTATGGCCATGTGAAACTTTGTACATTTCACAAAAAAATAATATTCCGAAAGTATGGCGTACCTCCCGCACAAATTTTTCGATTTTATGCTCAATATCAAAAGTTTTGTATGTGAATTCATAGATCATAGTAGCTACCATGTATTATCGTTTGCACCTCCAATTACATTGAAAACACTTTTTAAAATCATACGCATTTCCCTCTTTATTGGTGATCATAAATAGATAAATCTTTCTTCGAAATGGAACAATGCAAAATTGAACATGTAGAAGCTTTGACTTTGTTTTCGTTCCGATGAGCAATTTCCTTAAGCTTTGTTACAGTTACCGTGAAATAAAATTAGTAAGTTTAAAACTATTCAGCTTTCCAATTTTATCTCGCAGTATGCCTGGCTTATTCAATAAATTATTTCAATTTAAATTATTTTGGATGTACTGTAAATCGAAATTGAACAAAGTCTTTTACAATCATGGAAATGTCGGAAATTGGTAATTTTCGAAAGAACATGATGAGAATCATAAGATCTGTATCCAATCCCATAAGGAGTTTTTATGTTCGATCTGAAATATCAATCGTGTGCCATTTTCAACAATGATAACCGGGGTTTTCAAATGAAATGATTCATGAGCACTTGTTTTTAAATTTGATGTCATTTGCAACTGATAAAATAATGTTGATTGCGATCGTCAAAAAATAAAATTGAAACGTTTGAAAAAAACCAAAGGTCAAAGCAAGAACATTATGAATTATTTGTTAAATATTTGGGGCTGTTCGAACCTTCACTAAGTTTTATGTCAAAAAATTCGATCTTAAAAATGGGCATACTTAGTATATCTTGAAAATTGAACGGATGAGGATCAAAGTAAGCTCAAATCCCGATGAAAATAAAAGAGCAACATGATTTTTTTTGTATGGAGTTGTTCTTGTAATTATAACAACAAATCTATTTATGTAAAAAAAACTTCATGATGCTCTTTTATTTTCATCGGGATATAAGCTCACTTTAATCCTTACCCATTCAATTGTAGTTAAGCTACGGCTAAATAAATGTTTTCATGTAAAAATAAAGCGCATTGGTAACAGTGCCATTGAAAAAATTGAAAATGATGCTTAACATCATCTAACGATATAAAGTTTATAAATCTTTCGATTTGGTGAGTTTTTTTGCTGCAAACGTATTGGCTACATACTGTTTAAAGTAGTAAGCAGGCTGTGTGTTCTGTATAATTTCAGCAGGCACTGCTATTTCTAGCACGATAGCTATGCTCTGCCTAAGTTTGACGCATTGCATACCGCATTGAAATCGGTGACTGCTGTAAGCAGTGTGTGTTCGTTACGCGGCAATAGCGACACCGTAAACCATCAATACACATGCATGAATGCTGCGTAATACACGGTATCGCTATTGCCGCGTAATGAACACACACTGTAAGCAGGCATCGATTTCAATGCGGTATGCAATGCGTCAAACTTAGGCAGAGTATAGCTATAGTGCTAGAAATAGCAGTACCTGCTGAAATTATACAAAACACACAGCCTGGTAGTAAGAGAGTTCGATCGCATATAGCTGTATTCGCAATTCGTATTTTGTCACACAGCAACAGCAATCAAGACGATGACGCTGTGTATTTTTTCGCAGTTTTTGTTATTCTTGTTGATTTTTAGTTGGTGGGATGCGTTTTAAAAACAAATAACAAACATTCACATTTCATTGTGCAAAGCCATTAAAAAAGTATCGATGTATATATCAATGACGACGTATAATATGTAGTGTATAAATTATTGAAATAAAAATGCTCTCATAAAATAGAGAGAGATAGACAGCATAATATTCTTTTGTATTCTTTCAACTTAACCATCAATTTATATTCATAACTTTTCGATGAGCCATCTTTTTCGTTAGTGCAAAATAATGTCAAATCAAAAAGCTATGGTCATTTTGATAAGAAATAGCTTTGAATATGACACTGTTATTTGCTTTGATTAATCAATAAATTTATAAGAATGAATGTTTTTGTTTAAGCATGTTGCTCCATTACAGGTATATGGCAATTATAAAAATATTCGCTAATTTGCTCTTTGATTTTGCTCATTATTTCACACAAGTTGAATGTTTTTTCGTTTAATTTTGACTATTTAGCTCTTCAAAAATGTAAGAACTTTGATACAAGTAGAACTAATAAGTAATGTTATGTTTGTTTCTTTCAATACAAATTCAAATTCGTTTGTGAATTATAAACATTCAAATGAGAAACCGGTCATAGAATAGTCTTATGAAACTCTCATCTTCTGTTATTTAATTTTGCTGATTATGTCATTATCTATGAGACATTATCATTTTAATTAATAGACTAGCTTTAGCTTTTTTGTGTATAGATTTCCAAACTTATCGCAAGAGATTCTGTAAATATTTTCTATGCGAGACAATGACAAAAATATTTAAAAAATGTATAAATATCATTATGGGCGTCAAAAAACAAGGGAAATTAAGAACATTAAAAAAAATTGTGTATTTGTGTTTTATTGTTTTTAGAATTTAAGCTTTTCTTTTTTTTTGGGACTTAATAAACAGCTTGTTTGTTAAATGTGTGTTGGCAGCAGTCTGCATTTGAGGCACTTTGTTAACCACCGAAACCACCACCTAATGAACTAATCCGGCTGAACATGACCAAAGAAAAAGTAAGCAAAATAATATTTTAACATCAATAAGAGATTCTGATATAATAGTCTCAATGAGAACTACAAAAAAGAATGATTATTATTAAACGGTGAATTTACCTGTTTGAGATTGTGCATTTGCTGCTGAATTACTTTGACTATTACCAAAACCTGGACCACTGAATCCTGGGCCACCGAATCCTGGGCCACCGAAACCTGGGCCACCGAATCCTGAGCCACCGAATCCTCCACCGATACCTGGACCGAAACCTACACCGTATCCTGGTTGAATGTGTCCACCTGGTTGAACATATCACATATGTCAAAAAAACAGTATCAATTAGAAATTCTGATATATATAATAATAATGAATGATTTTTCTTAATCGTTGAATTAACCTGCGTTTTCAGTTTGTGTGTGAGCACCTGATGCTGCATTCGAGGTACTACTACTGAATCCTCCGCCGAAACCTGGTTGACCACTGAAACCTGGACCGAAACCTATGACGAAAGAAAAAGAAAACAAAATAATATTTTAATATCAATAAGAAATTATGATATAATATTCTCAATGAGATCAATAAAAAATAACGATTTTTGTTAATTACATATATCAACTTCCTTATAAAAACTATACATATGAAAACTAAGTCCTATATACTAATAATGAAATTTACCTTGATTGAAGTTTTGAGTTGAGGATAAAGCATTTGCATTTGAACCAGATGAACTGAATTCGCCTAAACCACCGTTACTAGTGCCGGTTTGTGAGCCAGCGCTGGCTGATGCGCCCGAACTAGATAAACTGTTTTGGCCAAAATTATTATTGCTGCTTTGTGAAGTTGCTCTGAAAATTAAGGTAAACCGTGAGTTAATTGGAAAATCCAGAGTATTGCTAAGCGCTGCTGCCATCCAAAGCATATTTAAATATCTTGCTGAGAATGCGTCGTCCGTCGTATGCGAACGTACGTAGCAGTCTATACATCACAGCGAACAAGAATGAATCCATTCTCAAAACATTCAAACGATTGAATAGAGAACAATGCATGTATTGTTGTTCGCTGTGATGTATAAACTGCTACGTACCTTCGCATGCGACGGACGACGCATTCTCAGCAAGATATTTTAATATGCTCTGGATGGCAGCAGCGCTGAGCAATACCCTGAGAAAATCATTTAAAGATATCGAGTACACACGATGATTGAGAAGTTGACATCGATCCACTGCCATATTGTCCACCTAATCCACCATTAAACAAATATTATTTTAAAATACAAATATTCATCGTTGATAAATTTTACAGCTTATAACTTGATTTTGAGTGCTTGTTGATGCTTTAGAATTTGCTTGACTATTTGCTCCGCTTTGGTTCGAGCCGAAAACTCCTAATTTTATATTTATATTCTTATACAAATACGAATAGTTAATTGTGCTTTTAGTAAATCGAAATTGTAATCGTTTTCATTTTTGAATAACAATTATCACAATTTTTTCAATGTTAAAACACTAAATCGAATGATTTAATTTATCAGCGTTGTTTTCGTATTCTTATTAACACTGAAACCAATTTGGTTGCCGAAATATTTCGTGTATTAACTTACCATGGGGTGCGGAGTTAACGCAAGCAATTACTGCGCACAAAGCAGTGAAGGCAACAAACGATTTCATTTTGGCACTTTAATAACGTGAACTGTTCACTTTGACAATAACTTTCAGTATGATTGAATTATTATCCGATCCAGCGTTATTAAAAAGAAATTCGATCCTTCGCTGATTATCGAAAACAGGCGAAATTATGTAATGTATGTGTGCGTGTGTATTGATCATGAATTACTGTTACTGGTTTTTCCTGTTTTTTTCAGTGTATATACTGTTCTCATTTATTCATCTCTGATGGCATATCATCACATACATCTTGACTAGACCGAAATATCAAATAGACAACGCTTAAGATTAAAAAATAACACTCGACCTGTGGTAACAACTGTTTTTTTTTAGAACATTTATATGAAATGTATTTTTCTTTTCTCTGGTGTGCGATCAGTTTGAATCAATGTCACACACAATAAAAATCTAGGGTATAATCACAATATAATTCACTCAGTTTTCAAAAACTTAAGTCTTTAAAACGAGCTCAATCCCAATTAAGATTCATAAGCATTTGAACAGATTTCAAAAAGAGTCGAATTTAATTAGATTTGTTCGAGATTCGAGTTTCGTGCATATTCAAAATATTCCAAATTAATTGAAAATTTTAATAGATGGTGTGGGCCCTTGAATGACTATGGTGCGATTTCGGCGAATAGTTTTGTTTCATTATTTGCTTCTTCTCTATTCACCTTCATGAATATACATGTATTTATTTTTCAGACATTTAGAATGTCGAAGTCTATCGATGGTCGCATACCATTTGGCGATGATTTTGCCTATGTATTTGTGGATTGAATAATATCACCAAACCAGCTTGAATAACAGTTAATTTGATGTATGTGTCGTGGCTGATATTATACCAATGATAATAGACATGGCAATGAATACTATTCTACTATCAGAATATTTTGTTATCAACATTTTTCGGTGCTGTGGCGAAAGCTACATATGTATTTCGTGTTGAATTTGGCAATAGGTTGAATAGCAAAAACTATTGCTTCCAATTCATTGGTTTTTTTTGTTGATGTCACAAGACTAATCATTTGAATAACTGTCCAGTCATTTAATTCAGTGAGAACATATGCGCTTCTATTCTCAATTAGTTTAAATGAGATTTTTTCCGTTATCTTTCTTTTTATGATCCTGCCAAATATCGCTTGGATTCGTTTCAAATATTAAAGGTTTTAACCTTTCAATATTACAATTTCGAAAAGATTTCATTATGATTTTTTTTTTTCAATTATACACACTCCCATTTTTTTATAGTGATGAGCAAGAAACACTTTATATGATCATGAATATTCGTATCGCAAAATGATGATCTATTTTTTTGATGAATGACTATGCGTTTGGGAAAAAACCCTCTCCACATTTATTACTCGTGCACGATAACAAGTTTTGAGTGAAAATTTCAACGAAGAATAGATATGTTAATAAATGTTAATGTTTGTAAACATTTGTCGGGAAATTTAATGATTTGTCATGGATTATGTCATCAGAAGTATAAAAAATGAAACGCAGAAAAATTTATTTATACAATATTTTTAATGGACTGAGTTTAAATAATATGCTAGAGGCTTTCATCTATTCGTTCATACACATTTATACACAATATTCACGTCCTATTCATCATATATACGATTAAAATTTCTCGCCTATACCAGAGAATGAGTGTATTTTAAACTGCAGTGTACACACACACACAGAATCGAAGAAGATCCTCACAAAAGAGAATGAAAAAACATGCCATAGACGAAATATACACGAAATATACACCAAATATATGCAGTTATGCACATTTATTTGCGCGTATTACAGATGATTTTGCAATATAGTTCACTATTTACAGTATAAATCGTATACATTTGAAGATAAAAACCCCTAGATAATATGATAAAGATTGGTTCTTTGATTCAGAATAATGATTTTTTTTCTATTTAAAAGAACACGTCTATTTTTTGTATCGGATCACTGAAATTAAGTGACACTTTCTTCTGATGTAACTTCATTTTTGTCTATGTATATTTTAAAGGACAAATAACCATCTGAAATTTTAATGAGTTTGAAAATAAAAAGTGAAAAAGGATTTTGTCTCTCATTTGAATTGAAAAAATATTTATTTTATCAAGTTGAAATCATCTTTGAATTGATGTAAATAAAATTATATTGTATTATTTATTCAACTATTTTCGCCGAATTTCATGACACAAACAAGATTATTCTTGTTTTTCTCTTTTCGTTAAAACAATCGAGGTGGCTTGTTGTGGCTTTTCTGAGAAATTCAGTATTTACATTGAAACAAGTAAGAGATTCTTCATTGTTAACGCAGTAACAACTTCATAGGTGCAACCACAGAAAAAAACTGGACCTATTAGTTAAATTACTTCTCTTGGGGCTATTTAGCTTTCGAATCGCAGTTTCAAGCAACTTTTGAATAAGTAAAATTTGAGGCGTTTTGCAAAACTACCACAGTTTGAATCAAAAAGTTAAATATATCCAGCTTAATTTATAGTATACACACAAATATGATGAAATAATTAATAAAGAATTTTTTCGAAGGACAATAAGAACTGCATTAGTAATAACTCTAGTGTATAATTCCTTCTCGATTCATTTAGCGACCATATGGGATACCAGGTTGTAAAAAGGGTCCACCTAAACCATGACCATGATGATGATGGTGTAAACCATGACCATGGAAACCACCAAGACCACCAAGACCGCCAAGATGACCAAATGTCCGTTCAGCTAGCTCTGAAAATACAAGAGAAAATCATTTTCAACCAATTACTTTTCTCTCGTTTGTTCACTGAATATATTCGATTATTTACCAGGCTGCTCGGTTCCATGCACAACGACAATGCACACTAAAACGAAAATAAAAATAAAATTCATATTGAATTTAGACGACCCAATAAACTTAATCGTTGAATAGACAATGATGGTAATTCAATCAATCGTCTAATATTTATATGATATTTGAATTCAATTATTAATCATATAATATTTTTGTTTCGTCGTTGTATAGATAATCTATCCTAGAAATAAAATGTACATTATTTCCGCATAAACTTGTTTCAGTTGTTATAACATTTATAATCGGAATTTTTAAAAACGCATTCCGTTAATATATTACACATTTATTTACGTCACGCAAGCGGAATTTTACGTCGACCATTGAATGAATCCATAAAAAAATAATACCTATAAAAAAACACTGAGCATAATATTCTGGTACAAAGATAGCGGTAAATTCAACCTATAAAATTTTTGGACTGCATGCAGAATTTGCGAATTCCGGTGTTGTAAATAATATGTTGTATGTTGCAATTTTGAAATGATACATGTTAGACTGTGATGGACCATAATGGAACATTAAAACCATGGTGAATCATGTTAAACCATCATAACCTTAGAACACACATCAGAAGATTGATAGGATAAAAATCAAAACCAAAATTATGTCTGTCACGGAGGTAGTCTACTATATTTTACACGATTGCGAATTGCATAAAATTGTACACCACAGGCCTGGTAGACAAATCTAGATTTTTTGCCACATATTTATAAAAAAATACTTTTTCAGCGCAAAAATATTTCCAATATTTACATAAATTTAATCTATTGTTCATTAAGAACTTTATGAAATAATTAATATGTGTCAAAAAAGTATACTGCTTAAAGATTGTTTGAAAAAGTTGATTAAAATTTATCTCGTCGGCTCAAAGAGACTTGAAGTCTTCACATCCTCTCATTGATATCAAAATATTCAATTTTATGTAACGTATTTAAAATACAATATTTTACATGAAATACCTAGATTTGCCGTTTTATTGTCAATCAACGGACAGATTTATCTCGATTTAAAAATATTCAAAAATGATTTTTTTCAATTACTACATATAATCAATATTCTTTCGAATTCATTAAGACTGAATTTGATAAAAAAATTTGCATTTTGAATAGTCGCTCCCAATTCTTGGGACGTGTTTAATTTGTTTGGTTATTCATCCATAATTTTTATTTTGTACGATGTTCCTTAGACACATTTTTTTCGAAAGTAAACAAAGATCATGCAAAAGCTATATTGTGCGCCATAAAAAAACCAAGATTGTTTCATTTTTCCTTCTTTCGAATTGCATTTATTTTATTTTTTACATAATTTTACAGAAACTTTCACACTTTCATTTCATAACTTTGATGAGTATAAAAAAAATGTTTGAATTGATTTACGTTGCACAAAGAATGTGTTAAAAACTGCAAAAGAAATAATACGAACTGAGTAGTTTTACACGGCTCTCAAATAAATGATGAGTTAACGGCCTAGTGGGTAGGCTAGTCCACCTGGATAGGCCAGTCCACCTGCTGGATAAGCTAGTCCACCTGGATAGGCCAATCCACCGACTCCCCCTAATCCACCGAGTCCTACTCCAAGTGGACTGACACCCAAAGTAGCACTCAATGGTAGAGTTGTTCCCACATTATGAATGTCTAAGAAATACACAAAGGAAAATAATTAAAAAAAACCCAAATAATATAAACACTATAAAAATTCTTTTTTCTTACGTGGCATAGCATGCACAACAGCAATGCATAATAAAATGGTCACCAAAAAAAATTTCATCTTGAGTTTTTACGATCTCATAAACAATAGTCCGAACTTACAAAATCGACCATTATATATACGATTTGGATTGGAATATTTATCAACCAAAAATATACTTCAATTTCTAATCTATTGCAGTATAATTACTCATGAAAAATGTTGTTTTCTTTTTCCCGAAATGATACCGGTTTTAGATGATGTGCATTATATATTTATCTCGGTTTATCGTCAACACCATATGGTTTGCGGCAATTGATTAACTAAATTTCACAATATTAATAAATCAAATCAAAAATTATAATACGTCTTCGTAGAAAAAGTCTTCAATAGAATTCTCATTAATGAAAAACAGGAAGTCAGTTTACAATAGATTTTAGAATAAAGAAACCATGTCGATTGAAGTGCAATTTGAGACACTATACATTTTGGCCTTAAGCATGTAATGTTATTGTTATTGAAACATGGGTATTTTGAACTGAAATAACTTGTTATTTTAGTTTTCACTTAAAATAGATCTCTAATTAGCTTTTCAACATTTCGCTTAAACGTTCAAGTATCAGATGAGGAAAAAACTTTTGCTCCAATAGTAATTTAAAAACAAAAGTTGATTTTTATATCAGTTATGTGTATGAATGGCGTATTACTATCTTATATAGTGTTTGCCCTCTTCTCAAGCTTAGATTCTAAATGCTTTCAAATATGATTCTTGTATGCGTTCTATCTATCCACTTTCCTAGGCAGGCATTCTATTGTTTTGTTTGCTTGTTTTGGGAAAGGTTGGTGATGCAAACGAGCTCATTTTTACGGAAATGGCATGTTTATGGGAAATATGGTGACGTGCCAAACCGTAACGCCAAATTCGTATTGATGATTTCACATGCGTGTGTAATTTTAAGGTCTAATTCGAAATATGTGTGAGGTTTTTTGTCGCGAGTAAGGTACAATTAAAAATAAATTGCAGTACAATTAAGTACATTTTTGGTTCAATTATTATCAGCAATAAAAATTTAAAAAATATCGTTTTTCATTTTTGCCATTTTTTCGGGAAACCCCCCGTGAATTTTGAAGGACATGCTCTGCAGAAGGACACCATCGAAGTAATGACTTTATGATGATGTTATTTTGAAGGTACATTTTGGGTACAATTATTATCAGCCATAAAAATTCAAAAAATATCTTTGAGTTTTATTTTGGCTAGTTGACCGGCAAATTGAAGTGCCCCGAAATTTGAACCTCAAATATTATCCGAACGAGTAAGGTACAATTAAAAATAAATTGCGGTACAATTAAGTACATTTTTGGTACAATTATTTAAACCTAGTCCCAAGTTTCGACTTTCACATGTGCGGACATTCGACTATACATATCCACCATCCGTGGTATCGGTTATATTGTTCGCTATTCGGATATGACAGAAGAAACTATCAGAACAGTGATCACCAATGCTTTGTCACCGCAGACGTTAAAAAATGCAAAAGAAGTATCTTATTAATTTCGAAATCAACCGATGAAACCGGTTGAAACGGCTGTTTGGTGGGTAGAATATGTATCGGCAACACGAGATACTCCTTTACTGAAATCACATGCAATCAATTTATCAGCATTCAAGTATTACTCTTTTGATATTTACATTACGATTTCGGCTGGTTTGGTTGTCATCATTGGTCTTTTCATTTTTATAATCCGAAACACATGCGATTAAGATTCAATACGAAATTGGTAATTCTTTTTAAGAATTTTGCTTTTTCTGTCTCATTTCGAAAATAACAGGAACCTATCCATGTGTGACAAATAATGTTGGTTTGAGTTAACTGCCCCAAATGATTGACGATGTGATTAAGCTTGGCAATAATCAATTATTTTATAACGATGCATACATGAATATTTTCATTTTAAATTTGAGCTCAGATATTCATGATTTTATTTCCATTTTGCTTGATTTTAAATATAATTCTCATGCAACATTTTGAGCTTTAATTCAGCACAATCCACGACGTTTCTTAGAGTCTGTTAGAGTCTGAAACTCTGGCGAATCAAAGTTTGTGGAAATTCAAACCACAATTGAAATATCTTCTTGTTTATGTTATGTTGTAAAAATTTAATGTTTTGTTATGTCATGAAAGACAGAGATTCTGTCAAACAGAGTGAATACAACTGTTTAGTGAATTTTGAAATTAAATTGTGTTAATTTCTTTATACAAAATATATATTTCTTTTACAATTTATATTTTTTACAGCGAATCTTTTCATGAAATTCATATTTTCAAAATGACTGACAGATCAAAAATAATATTTAAAAAAATGTGCAAGAGTAATGAGATAATCTTATGCGTGGCATAAATTATTTAACGACCAAATCCTGGGTATAATCCTCCATGCTGGATTCCTCCTAGCTGGTGTCCTCCTTGCTGGAATCCTCCTTGCGTGAATCCTCCTTGGTTTTGTCCCAATAAGTGTCCATTAGCATGTCCAGTATTCAAGTTTTGACCTTGACCGTAGTTGTTGCTACTGGCTTAAAAATCCAAAATATTCGCATAAAATGGCGGATTTTCTCTCTATTTGTCTGGATATGAAATTAAATAAAATATCTTACCCATTACTGTATTGGACGAGAATGTTTGTGAATTACCACCATTAAAACCACTACTTTGTAATCCACCAGAATTTAAACCGTGGCTTAACACACCGCCCTGCTGCCCACCACTACTAAATCCACCACCACCGAATTGACCGCCACCAATTCCAACGCCAAGGCCTCCCAATGGAATTCCAAACCGTTCTGAAAATTAGAATTAAAAAAAAAAACAAGTTTAATCAATTCAGTTTTTCTATGTTTATAATGAATGCTCTAACCTTCCTTAATCTGTGGATTAGAATGCACAGCGGCAATGCACAATAGACCGACAACAAAGAAAGCTTTCATGATGACTCTCGACGTTCTAATTTGTTCGTTCGATGTACAATTACCGTAGTTCATTCAATTGTCCACTATTTATATGATATTTGAAATTAATCAACAACTATATTCATCGTATTGAGTCTTACAAATTCTGGTTTACTTCTTTTAATATTTCCCTTAAAATCTGGATTAAATTTTCTTAGAAAAGTGCATACGTATAAAACAAACAAGTATACTTACGAAATAACAAAAATTATTAATCAAAATATGATGCATTTCAAATCCACATAATCGTAATACATTATCGTCTTCGAAATTTAAATAGAAAATCAAGTTTTACAGTTGCATTACTTGTATCAAATATAGACCACATGTTTGTGTACTGTTTATCTTTCAGCTATGTCACAAAACCACATAAGTGACAAATGGCAAAAACTTCTTTGTCCATATATTTGTATATGCTTTGTTTGTCGCTTGTCGGTCTTTGTCAAGGTTTACTTCTTTTTTTTGAACCTTCTTTCTTCTTAATATAGACTAAGCGACAAACTTGTTTGGTCTTATGTATCTCAACAATCAACACATGAAATTGCTCATCGAATTTGATTATCTACAAGCATATTTGTGAATAAAACATCTGAAAATTCCATTTTTTAATTTACTTTTTGACGACATGTTAAACTCGGAAAGTACTTATCAAAAGTGAGATGACAAAATATGTTATTATTAGTTAGGAAATTACATAGACGAATGGCAGTGACGATTTGGTTTAAGTTCTGGGAATAACCTATGATACGTTATTTTAAAAACGTTTTCTCAAAATTGATAAGTTAAGTTTACAATCAATCCACTTTACAATCTTTTACATTTTATGAATAATGGTCAATGACCACTTATCGTCATTCGTGTTACGTTTAGTAATAACATTATATCTATGGCACACGTATCTACTTATTATGCTCATTAAAAATAATGACTTTTCGATTGGAAATGTTATAAAATAAAGAGACGATAAATGAATGAACTGAATGAGAAGGGAAAATGACTTGGAAATTCTTTAAATATAACTTGTTAGTCATCTTATATTATTGAAATATTTTCTATTAAAATCATTTCTTTTTGCCATTTTTGAGATATGATTAAGTGTGAGAGAGGTTCGCGATGCCAAAATTTTGTTAATAATTCCTACATAAAATCGATATTTATGGTCAATTTTGAAGCTTTTTTTTCCCTCCAATCGGACCCCTGCTGAGGACGTATGCACTTCGTATATAATGATTTTGAACAGCTTAGAAATTAATTTATGACCATTTCTTGAGGTTCTGGATAGCTTAAAATATTGATTGATTAAAATTTATAGCAAAATAGAGAGACTATTCAGGTAGCAACTAATATCAATATCAAGAATCGCACTGAGTACAAAATGATCAAATTGAGTTTATCAAATTCTCTATTTTGTATTTTCATGCGAAGTAGATTCAATTCGGTCGTTCGTTTTTTCGAACCTATTGATTTCGACCAATTGACTTAAAACCAGAAAATCCATTCAAATCGCTTTGCAAAAAGAAAATGTCAAAAGAATGTACTTTGAAATATTATATGGCCATTCTAATCTCTTGTTATAAAATAGAAAAGAACACACACGTGAATATAATTCGAATTGAGCAAAGTTACATAATAAAAATTCAATTTTGAATGTCTCGTATATGGTTAGTAATTTTCCATAGATTATAATCAAACTTAATCAAAAATGTTTTATTTTTATACTTTCGTTGATGCATTTGGGAATTACACCAATTAGCTGTAAAAAGTGTGCATGTTCTGAATTAGTCAGCTTCAGGAAGAGAATTGTATATCAAAAACTTGATCATTTGATTTTATCGTTCCAAAGTCTTTTCGAGAGATTCTAAGATGTGATTAATTATACGTATAATGTTAATAAAATTAGAACAAGGTCTTCACCTCATGGTATGATATTTCTGATTATTAACTGGTTTTTTCGCATCAATAAAATCACAAAATTATACATCATGGTTTGTTGTTACATCTTGACTTGAAATGAACTGCAAACGAGAATCGCATTCAATGTTAAATTCAGGTTTTTTCTTCACGCAGCTCATGTTGTTGTTGTTGCAACAATAAACTAAACACGAAAGGTTCTTTGTTTTCATCTTTGGATTATTCTTGATATGTTCCGAAAATACGAGAGTAAAAAATACGGAATCGGGAAGGAGACAATTACGATAGAGATATTGGATCTTTTTGTGATGTTGACATTTGCTACTATTCGTGTTTTTTGTGCGGTTGGTTTTGCTAAAACCCATTGAATCCTTTGTTCACAAATCAGAACAACAATTGTGATACATCAAGAACTCATAACGTATAAAAGGCAAGACACAGCAACCGTCATCAATTAGTTGTTCTGCAGAAATCGAAAGTTTAAGTGGTTTGATTCTATTCACACCTTTTTTCATACGAAGTTTTATCGAATTATGTGAGTTTTGTTCTGCGTTGAATTTCTTTTAATTACTTTATGATTTATTGCTTGGTTTTGTATTAAAATGTGAATGAAGAAAAGAATATTTGTGTTTTTTTAATGATTAAGATATCAAAGACATTGTAAAGAAAATGACACCAAATATTTCATATGAAATTAATAAAAGTGAACAAAAGCAAAGAATGTTTTCAATTAAGTAGCTCATGCTATTCATTTTAATCTAAATAAGATTTACGCAAAACAGTAATGTGTGGTTCTTTTAATCTTTTATGAAGAGGCAATCATGCTGAAAGCCAATATATTTGGCTATTTTTAATCTTGTGAATGCCAATTGTAAAGAAATGTCGATTGCATTGTTTACAACAATGTCAGAGTTGAAAAGTAACAACTTATCCATAGTAAAGAAACATGATGCTTCAAAAATCTAATTAAGAATTAAAAGTTCCGATTGCAAACCGATTTATTCAACTTTATCATATCAAATTTGCATACATGCAAGCATAATTGATTCAATTAAATTGAAAAATACTTGAATAATTCGAAAAAGAAGTATATTGCAGTAAGAAAACCAAGGAAACGTTTTGGCCCCTTTTACCACCAATGGAAAATAAAAAAATAATAAAATATGTTTCTAATATTCTTCCTTTTCCAGCATTAACGATTACAATGAAAATTCTAATTGTGGTTACACTGTTCGTCGCTTTAGCCGCTGCTTCAGCAATAGATCCTTGCGCACTAAAAAGAATAGTTGGACGATCAACGGATAATGTTAACTCAAGAAAATGCTCCACGAGTGTTACAGAAACCGATAATCCGACAGAGGCAGAAAAAAAAACCGAATCAGAAGTTGTTAATCGACAAAAACGATTCATTTTCTTCCAAAAAATATTCGCTCCATATCCGGCTGTAGCCGCACCGGTTGCTAGAGTACAACCAGTCGTCACCCCAATTGTTCAAAAAGTGGTTGCACCTGCTCCCATCCAATACCAAGTTAAAGTGAAACCCGTTACCTATCAATACACATACACTGTGCCATCCTATTCATATAGTGTTGTAAAGGCAGTTCCAGCCGTTAGCGTTGTGAAGTCCGTCCCAGTTCAAGTTGAAACTGCCGTTCCAGCCGTTAGTGTAACTAAAACTGTGACTACAGAAGAGGCAGAAGACGACTCATCAAACGGCTACCCTCCATCAAGCGACTCATCAAATGGCTCATCAAACAGCGAAGAATAAATTCAATTTGCATTACGCTTTGATCATAGTCAATGAATGTCTTATTTGTAAAAACATCTGTTTAAATGAAATCAAAATAAAAAAAATATTTCGCTTAAAAAATGTTCATTCTATTTATAGAAGTAATAAATTAAAAGATTATTGGGAATATCCAAGGTGCAAAGAACAATGTCTAAAACATTTGGTAAGATTCATGGTATGTATAAGGAAACTTTATAATTAATCGGATTAACGACACCGCAAACTCATTACGCAGTACAAAAAAACAGACAAAGTACAGTTGGAGCAAATAATATTTCAGTGGTTATAATATTTGGTGAGCATGTTTTAATTTCCAATTTAAAAATAGATATATATTGATCAACTAAACAAAAAAGTTAACGAATAAATCCCCTGAATTTATGCTATGTACCATCCACGAAAACTTTGAGTTAATGAGACTTTCGTTTTGAATATGAACTTGTTTAAGTTGCTTTCTATGAGATAACATTGCTTAGCATTTTAAGCTGATTTTCAATATCGAATTATATTCCTTTTCCATCTTTTTGCATGAAAATACGATTTGGGTGCCCAAAATGCTCACATTCCTGAAATTGAAGTAAAACAATTTTTTTCTATAACTTCAATTGCAAAATTTATTAATTTGTAATTTAAACGTGCTTTATGATATTCACAAGATAGAAGGAGAGTTCTAGGAATTCTTTAAAATTCTTAAAATTAAGTTCATTAAAATACCCAGAAATGAGTAACGAGTCGATCAGTGTTTGAATCAGAGAATTCAAATTATTTACATTCGACGATGAATTACCAGTGCCAACATTGAAGGATTACAATAAAAAAAGTTTCAAAACAAAAACAAATTGTTTTCTTTCTCACTAATGAAAGAGAAACAGTAGAATTAAACAATCAGGTTTCAAATTCTTTGATCATCAGCTATCAGAGTTCAATTTTGCCCAATTTTTTTTTGTCATTAGCCATATGCTTAGGGTCGCTTGATCGAATATTCAGAATATTTTGTACAAAAAAAATAAAAAAACTAAAATATAATTTTCGAATGTCGGTTCGCTTCGATTTTTATTAAGATGTCGACTACAATTATTTTCATTTAATACTTTTTTTGGCAAAGAAGTCTGGATTCGAAAAAAAACATATATTTACACATTTTTAATGATTAAAAGTCGTTACTTAAAAATCGAAATATGAAAAAGAAACATTAGTTGTGGCTGTCGCAGACTACATAAAGCGGTTTGTTCGGCACTGGACCAACGGCAGCTGGTGGTGGTGCACCGTATGAATAACTTGGAGGAGCAGATTGAACGAATGAACCTGAACTTACAAATCCGCCGATTCCGTTTGAAATTCCACCAATTCCACTTGAAATTCCACTAGCAATGTTATTGGCGATTCCTGCTTTCCATGCTAATGCACTGTTAATTGGTCCACCGAAGGATGGTTGTGGGCCAACATGTGCATAAGATGGTTGCTGTGGAACGTATTGGGGCTGTTGTTGAGGTTGTGGCTGTGGTGGAATGTACGTTTGTGGTTGTGGCACATAAGTTTGACTAGTAGCATAAGTGGATGGATACGAAGTGGTGAAAGTTGGTCCTGAATTATAACCATAAGCTGGACCATAGCCTTGTGAAATTTGGTTTGGACCACCACCAGAGTTTCTAGCTGCAACGACACCGGCCAAACCCAAAGCACTGGAAATATCGTTTATTATTTTAAAAATATTTTTATAAAGTATTATGAAAGAAATTCAATATGAAAGAAAGTAATTTTCTTACCCAATGCCCAATGCGCCAGCTTTAACCAATGCGATTTTCTTTAAAATGAAACGTTTTGAACGGGTTACGTCGGGGATATTTTCATTGTTTGATTGTTCGTTGTCCAAATCGACCAAAGTCAATTGGGATTCATCATCCGAATTCACCTCGACTGGAATGGCAGCAGCCAAAGCAACAATCAGCAAAGTCAAAATCAAAACTTTCATTTTGGTTAATTTTCTGCGAGAACAAAATTTCGAAAAAAAAATATTGTAAACTAATTTATCTTTTTGAAATTCGAATTAAAAAACGAACAAATTTTTCACATATTAATATCGCTGAATCGTTTGAAATGGATTAAAAATATTAAACTATTATTTTTTTTGGCTAAATCGACATTTCTTTTAGAATTGCCATCATTATCACCAAAATCACAATTTATTAGTATTCACTTCACAAAATAAGAACCAATTTTTTTCTCTGTCGTTTAGATGTGAGAAGAAAAATCCACTCAATCTATAAAGTCTTTGAAATTTCACAAATAATTTTTCGTACTTAGGAAAAATGTCGCCAAAGATGATAAAAATCCAAGTGAGTATTGTAGAATATAGATGTGGTGTTCCACCAAAATGATGTGTATTGCTGTTGATTTCAAAAGCTCACTGATGCCAAAAGATTCGAATCTCACGGTTTTTATAGAGAATTTTGAGATCGTGCGTCCAATGCTGTGTATGTTACATACATAGGGCCCAATCGATGTTTGGACGAATGACGAGATTATGTGAAGTGGAAGAGAACATCAAGTACAAACGAAAACATAAAACCACAATAAACTAAATAATCACATACAATACAATTGATTCTCTGGTTGTGTGTGGCGATAGAGATTATGGACGAGTGAGCGAGCCAGATAGAGAGAGAGATCCATTGTTATATTTCATTTTGCGTGATTCTGTTTGTATTTCGTCTCCTTCAACACTTAGGCGTGTGGTGTGGCGCGCCTATTGCCATTTACATGCTAGAAATACACATCTTCATTGATTTTTCCATTATTCGTTTCGTAAGTGTTAAACGAATACGGCCGAATACGCGTGCAATTTATTCAGGCAAACTTGCCAAGATCACATTTTTTCACATTGTTTGACGAAGAAGAAAATGGTTTTTTTTCGGTTTCATTTTTTATCAAATTATATGCTGTAATAAAAAAAAGATACGTACGCGATAAAAATAATCATGTTTTTCGGCACTTGTATAATATAGATCCATTGGCCAAGACGTGATTTGGACGATCTAATGGTGAATGGTCATTTGATTGCCGCACAATGTTTGCCTTGCTAATTAGCATTCATAAATTTGTTATGTTAGATCATGATAAGTAGACAGGAAAATCAATACGCGTGTGAGCATTGACATTTTGATCGTTTTGCATCATCATTCAATGGAGATATTCTTTTTTCCAGACCAAATGCTCATATATTTACACAAAATTTAGAACGTCCTAGCTCATAGCGCCACAATGCGAAAAAAAATCCCCGCCGAAAAACATTATTTATGTATGTACTGCCGAATGTTTTTTTGACGAAATTGGGCAATATTACGCATGAATTTTAAATCAAAATCGCGGTTTTGAATCAAATGACCATATTGTCAATATAAAGTTTTTTTTTGCTCAAAACTCCAATTAAGCTACGTTTGGGCATTTATGCAGAGAGAGAGAGAGAGAGAGAGAGAGAGAGCGAGAGAGAGATAGAGAGAGAGAGAGAGAGAGATGAAAAAAGTAAAAAACCGCAGAATTTACAATTTCTACAGCGCACGCATGTAGAAGAAGAAAGTATGTGTGCATTTTAATTAAGCACAATCGCCCGCAATGGACAATGAGGCGTTTGTTGTGGCAGTGTAGTAGAGAAATGTTATTACTTTGCGCCGTAAGTGTTATGTTATAAAAATGATGCAATATTTTCATATTTGATTTCATAATAAGCGGTAGTGGTTGTTGGATTGCATTTGAATATTATGCGCGCACTTGCCATTGAAGCGTTACCGTTTGTAACGCTGCTTTTACACTTTCCTGTTCTTCAAACGAAAACTAATTTACGTTTGAGTGTCGTCTTTAAAATTGTTATACAGTAACTCTCTATTCGGTTTCGATTCGCCAATTTGTGTTGCGTCATCGTAAATCGGTAACTGACTGATAGTGAAAGAGCCATCATTCATGCGAAGTTTGATTGCATGGGATTGCATGCATCAATTTACGAATCATCTTTTGAAAAAAGGTTATGTAACGTTTGGTGTCCTTGAACTTGTGCGCATTTATTAAAAGAAAAATAAACCGTGATTTTTGGCCGAGAAATTATGTGATTTTTTTGGTTTCGTCGACAGTTTTCGGTTAAGGCAATTCACACCAAATTGAAAGAGCAAATATGTGACGAAAAAACTGAATTTGGTTTATTTCTGTTTCTATATACAGTTTTGGCGAATAAAAGAAAGTTTTTTGTCTTTTTATTACCAGTGGTTAGTTGGTGGAAAAAAGAAAGAAAGAATAAGATGCAAAACCCTCTTTAAGGCAACTGAACTCAAAACTCTCGAGCAACTCGAGAACATTATGAAAATTAGCACGTTCGCTCATCAAAAACAAACAACGTGCTAATCATTCATACATTTTTTTGTTGATGTAAATCTCTCACCTGCTAGTAAAGAAGAATGTGTAATCGTCGTTTTATTTATGAACGTTGGATCCTTGGTCAAATCTATTTGCTCACTATAATGTATGGATTTACCAGTTTGGGCAGTGAGTTAGTAACGTGAATAGAATATTTCCTAGCAAAATAGCTGTTGCGGGTGCTTATTCATATCTCAAACATACATCATCGCAATTTGATTAAATAAACACGAGAAAAAAGCCCACCTCTTACACGAAATCCGCATTTTAGATGTGAATCTTTTCATTTTATTTGTTTGATATTCAATTGCTTAGTCCAATATTTGGCAAGAAGAACCGGAGAGAAAAAACTAAATAAAAATCGAAAGCGATATGATTCTATTTTAATGTGAATAATCATTTGGCATTGCCTATTTTATACACACGCCGTATAATCGAATGTGAATGTTGAATTTCACGCAACTAACAATTGAAGCCTGGACTGAACCTTCATTTGATCACATAGAAATGCAATCAAGCGGCAATACCGAATTCTTATTGACTTACATATTTATTCGGTTTGATCTTATTGGCCGATGTAAAATTGAAAATTGTTGTGCGGTGTAAGCAAATCTTACCATTAGAATTATCTTAAACTGGAACCTTACAAAAATTCAATTTAACACATTACGTAAATGTTAAAATATGTACGTTTTATTCAAATGGATTTTATTTATTTTCTCAACAAAAAAAGTAATTGACATAATTCTATGGATAGAATACATGCTTTAAAGTGTTTCTATTAAATTTTGGATTTTTTTCTTGTCGTGGTTGACCGTTTTCGGTAGATGATGAAACATGATTGTGATTGATATTTTTTCGGTGTTTTCACGTGAAATTGTTAAAATTGCGCAATCACGGCGCGCGTTTGTCAATAAAAAACATTTCTTCAATCTCATCGAAATCTAACTTTGTTTTCCCGTAAGGTCTTTCGTGCAACAAACGATTCTTTCTGATTGTTTGAACTATTAAATATGCAAATTTTTTTCAACATACTCATATTACTATTTAATTTATTATTTACATTTAGACTCGAACCATATATGTGTATATAGATTTGATGACGTTGACTATCTGGTGATGAGGGTAATAAAAGTAGTGTTTACTCGATATATATATATTCTTATTTACATATGTTTCGTTTTTACTCATTTGTTTACGAATTTTGTGTGTGTAGTTTTTTTTTCATTCAAATTAACTTGAGATTTGAAAATTTTTACAGTTTTTTTTTTTTGCTTTCAGTCAGTTTCATTAACAAATGATAAAACGATACTGGCGTTTGGAGATTGAATCTATCGGAAATATTGGCTGTATTGATATGCGCCATTCGGATAGCTAACGCTCAGGCGTGGAGATGCACGGTAACTGTAATGGCTTGGGAAATCCAATACAGTTTTCAATACGCCTTTTGTAGCCAATGCTGCTCCAGCAATGCCCAATGCACTATAAATCGGTCAAAGACACGAACGATATGAAGAGAGGAAGAAAAAAACCAAAATATCAGAGTTAATAAATTTGATCTTGAGTGATTTTCAAAGAAAGAACAAACTTGAATACATACCCAAGACCCAAGTGGGCCAATTTGGCCAACGCAAGTTTCTTCAAAATGAATCGTTTTTCACGCGCAATATTTCCATTTTCATCGGCCACAGCATTAACGTTATTTTGTTCGTTCTCAAGGTCGGCCAATGTTAATTTGGATTCAACGCCGTACTCTGGTTGAACGGGAATGGCAACGACAACAGACACAGCAACAGCCACAATGCATACAAAGATCAATGCAGATACCTTCATTTTTGTGGATTAGTTTCGGAAATTTTCTGAAATTGGAACAAAGTCTTAAGTGAAATGGGCCAACAAACAATGTTTTGATCTTTTCATTTGTTGTGATAAATTTTCCGTTCATTTTCCATCGCCCATCTATTTTGAAATTTTAATTCCAATTAAATTAACTGTAAAAAATCATTGAATTGATTTAATTCATTCAAAACAAAGTTCAAACTTAACTAAAATGAAAACAAAACGATAAATTTTAAGTTTTCTTTCGAAATCTATGTAAATGAACTTGTTCCAAATTGTAAAAAGCCGTTACCGAGAAGAATTTTATACTTTGCGCATTCAAATATTGTCAAATGATGCTTAAAACAAATCTCATGTGTTTCTCGTTCACGTATTTAAAATCAATATTCAAATATATTACCAAGTATTTGCAATTTCAATTAACATGAACATTTCGACCGAAAAAACGAGTTCCGAAACCATTACTCATTGAATTTTATGTGTATTTCAAGCCTGAATGTGTGATGCGTACACGCAAAACCACAACTCTTGTAAATATATTCATGTAATATTGAACTGCTAATTGCTTATGATAAAATTACTTCTCTCGGTCACTCTTGTTTTCTTCATGTGTTGTGGTGTGTATGTGTATTTTTGCGCATATATGGTGTGATGTGTATTCTTTTGATTTGGATTACTTAACATTACGCGCGCGATCGCGTTTGCATTACATATATTTACCATAAAAAGTACTTTGGCCTGGTATTTTTTTTTTCAATGAATGAAAGAGAGAGCGAGCTAGTGTGATGAAGATGATGATGGATGAAAAAAGATGAAATATATGGAAGATCGAAAAGCCGACAATGATGATTATTTCATAATGTTTCACGATTTGTTATCACCCAAAATGTGTGAACAAAATTTCATTAAAATCAAAAAACAAGCTGACAATGTTTGTATTACTAGTTCAAAATTTGGATTGCGCGCAAATAACGGACGAAATTATTGAGACAAATTTTTATCGCTTTCAACAATTTTTTAAATCATTCCTTTCTCTCTCTCACACATTTTCGAATTTGTGAAACAATACAGGCGATTTTATTTCGAACACGTGAGAATTCACTCTTTCTTTTTTTGGCCGAATGACAATAGTAAAAACGATATAAAACACTTACCTTAGAAAACAAAATCGGTGTCAAATATAAATAGATTTATAAAAAAGTCTGGTTTTTTTTAATATGTAAATTCCGGGTGGCACTTAAGTTGCAGATTTATTTAGTCACATAAATCACGATCGCACAAATCCTTTTATTTACGTTACTTTTCTGTTCAAATACAAAATCAAATGCAAAAATTTTGAAAAAAGAAGAAGTTGAAAAATGGTAAAGTAATCCTCTTTTGATTGAATCGAATGACTGTTTAAATCAAATAAAACGCACCTTTTGTTTACGTCGATGAGACTGCACACTTGAAACTGAATCACATATCGATTTTGCTGTTTCAATTTATAGAAATTTTATTTGTACAACGAGCACCGAGACCTAGTGCATTGCATGCGCGTATCATTATTGACAGTTTGTGATGCGCTCGGTTAACCATCATGCTACTACGTTTCATACGCGCGTTGAAAAAAAGGCAACAGAATCATCATTGAAAAAAATAAATAATATAAAACACAACCATGCTTATACATTCCTTTGTTGAATAACTCACCAGCAAAGTGTTGAGGCACAGTATTCACAGCTGAATGGGTAAACAAATTTTATAACCAAATAGGAAAAGAAATGTGGCTATTCGCCGAAAACAGTTGAATGACGAATAAATGATGAAAAACAACCAACCGTTCATGATTATGTCGATTGATTTTATTTTTCGGATGCATTATTCAAAATCAATGGGGGGATGTTTGTGTCAGTTAGAAAGAGCATTACGATTTATGTGAAATTCCAATATACAAGCTACGATTATTGTTGCACCCACGTGCCATATGAAAACAAAGCATTATGTGGCCGATTACAAGTGCACAACTGCACGCGCGCCCATTAGGCCAAAGAGAAAGAGGCAAAAACGAGAATATGTAACGAGCACAGAAGTAGAAAACTGTTCGATTCAATAATTACTGCATAATTGAAGAAATGTTACTTTTCGATAATCGATTTGCTTGACTGAGGCTTTTATGATTAACCGACAAAATTTGCTATCAAATTAGCCTTCGTAATTGTTTGGCATCACTTGTATTTTTGACGTTGTCGTGTGCTCTTCGGCGAAATTCAGCGAAATGGGGCATGTATCAATTAAGAAAAGTAAAAGACATTTATTTAAATTGGAGTGCATCGAATAAAATCGTTTCGTTTATTTGTAAATTTTGTAATCGATTTTTTTCATTTTTTTATTTGCTTTTGTGAAGAAGTAGAAAATATATGTAAACATTCAAATGCAATTCGGTCGTTCATAAATAATCGTTTTAGATGTTTATTTTATTGAACAGTTTGCAAGACCAGCGAGTATTTTTTGTCCGTCCGATGTTAAAAGGAAATTATTCTGCCATGTTGCTTCGCCGTTGGCATTAGTTTTGAGATCCGCTTGCAATTTTTCCCAAACCTTTTTCTTTGGATTCAATTGAACGTCCGGTGAGCCACTATGGCCTTCGACTGTGATTTTATCGCCTGGTGCAACACCTTCTGGAATCTTCAATGGTTCAACCGCTTCAGCACTGTAAATATGAAAAATTATTAATTTTTCAACATGAATAAAAAGAGAAAAGAAAAAAATAAACACTCACGTGGATGCACACAGCACCATGCCTTGGGATTCAACGCCGCGCATTTTTGCCGGTTTCAAATTGCATAAAACAGCCACAAAACGATTCTCCATTTGATCAATTGGAACATATTTAGCTAGGCCGCTAACGATTGTTCGTGGAACTGCTTCACCCAAATCGATTTTTTCCACATACAAGCTATCGGCATCTGGATGTTTTGTCACTTCTACAATTTTACCAACGCGAATATCAAGACGATGTGGCCCATCTTCGACTGTTTCAGCAGCGGCTGCAGCCGGTTGACCACCCTTTTTCGTTGTTTCTTTCACTGTTGGATAGGCTTTTGCACTCAATGCTCTAAAATACGAAACGATTAATTGATTAAAGTTTTCGACAAGAAAATGATTATAAGCACATACTTTAGCTCTGGCGTATCGAATTCAGATCTAATTGGACTCAACAAACGATTGATGTAATTTTCAACAGCGAGCTTAAAGTCTCCTGGGTGCAGTTCTTCTTTTGCGAAACTTTCTTCCAATTCTTGGTATGTTGTATAGGTAACGTCACCACCAAACTCTGGTTTGCGGCTTACAACAAAACCTAAATATGGGCACACACACACACGAAACAACAATGTTAATAGCGTATTGACAGTGTGGTTTTTGTTTATTTATACCTTCTCCATCTTTAAAAAGTGAGAAAATGACGTGTTTAACAAATGACAGTAAACCGTTATCTTCGATATTGCCCGGTTCGCAGAATGCTTTTTTGAGCTTCTTCTTCACGGCAGCCGGTGTATCGAGAAGATCGATTTTCGAATCTTCTTCGGACGAAGACATTTTACCTCCAGCCAAGCCAGGCACTACATAACCCACGAAATCAATAGATTAGTTTACATTCCAACCCACATGTGTCATTCTAACTTACCCATGGGATTCATAAAATGAATTCTCTTCTCATAGCCCAATTGTGGCAAATATTTTTCGGCAAATGTGAAAATTTTCCGTTGATCGACACCACCGAATTGAGCATCAACTTTTAAATACTCTTCGTCGAGTGCCTGCAAACCGGGATACAAAAGCCCAGACAGGAGTGGGTACTCGACTTGTTTGACAACTTCCGCGCCGGCTTTCTTTGCATCGTGTTGTGTAACCACTGATGTAAGTTTGTACACATCGAGTGTGTATTCTTTCGACAGCTGATAGTCAGTTCCTTTCACGAATCTGAAATGATAGCAATAACAACAACAACAATTAACATTGAATTCAATCACAATTGGAATCATGCAGTTTTTGTCGCATATGCATATTAATTTCATATATAGAATGCCAATCATGCACTATGACGTCATCGAATAAAAAATGTCATGTAACTTGAATTGCAAACGAATCATAAAATAGTGGAAAAAAAATTGAATATATAGTAACTTCAAAAAATTTCAAAATCAGACTAATTATTTTAATCAAACAGTCACACACATATCATAAAAATGGTGATGCACCATGAATGCTAATGTTTCTTTCTAATCAATTCGATGTTGATGAACATGAAAATCACTGATAACACAATAACTGTTAGGAATTTTAAAACCAATGTACACTAAGCTGTTTAAAACTTACTTCAATTTTTCAATTGGAACACCGATAGATTTCAGCATCGCTTTAATGGCAGCTTCATAATACTGTGTACGTAATTCGAGCAATGCCCACGGTGCTTTCATATTATCCAAATAAGCATGCAGGTCAGCAAACAAAATTGTAACCTAACAATTGAACATGAATTAAATGAAAATGTCGACAAAATAGTCAATAAAATTAAATTTAATTACCTCGCAGCCAGCACGAAGAAAATCGGCAATTTTCGACATTGGTACAAAGTAGGCGACATGAGGTTTACCTGTAGTTGCAGTTCCCCAGTAAATTGTCAGATCACGTTCTTTCAAAATCGATGTCAATTTCTCGTCACCCAAATGCTCCTGCAAATTTCGAGTTATTAACTCTTTTTTCTGTTCAGCGGTTAGTGTTGATGCCATTTTTGGTTGAATTTTTCGGCCTATGGAAGAAGACAAACGTTCATTGGTGATTTGTCACAATGAATTCGCACATGCACTACTATGTGTCGATATATTGTGAAAGGAAAAAAAATAGCGTTGAAGTTGCTGGTGAAAGTCACTTTTTGACATTAACAATTCCAATTCGTTTCAATGCCAAGCCTAACGACTTTTTTTTCCTCGTTTCTTACATTGATATATTTAATGAGTCAATAAGTTTTGAACATGTGATCATGATTTAAATGATTAGTCACCTTTTTTAAAATCTGATTTTTACCATATGATGAAATTATTTGGTTAAATGTCGAAAGAAAATGATTGTTTTAGTTCCAATTCGTAGAGAAAAAAATCCCTCTTGGACAACCCTGACTTGCACATTGTTCATTCTAGTTCATGTGACAGATGAACTGTCAATTGAATATGACAGCTGTTCAAGCCATGTGTGCAACAAAACATTGTTTTCATCATAGTCCGTATATTGACATCGCATTACGGTGTCTCATAATCAGTTTACATTTCATAAGATCGATAATAACAATTGTGAATTAACATGACTTCAATAACGAAAGATACATTAGTGAAATTACAGAAAAATGTGAAATCAATTCGGAATATTTGCATTTTGGCTCATGTAGATCATGGCAAAACAACGTTGGCAGATTCGCTCGTCGCCAGCAACGGTATGAATGAGTTTAAGTGTGTCGATGAATCCGAATAATTTCACCATATTTTGAAATAGGTATTATCTCACAACGCATGGCCGGCCAAATGCGATATATGGACAGCAGACCTGATGAGCAGGTTTGATTTAAATTTGAATGAAAGAATTTCATGTTTATTTCTTTTAATTTTTCGATAAAATTTCTTTCGCAATCGATTAGGAACGAGGAATCACAATGAAAAGTAGTTGTATATCGTTATTGTTCAATGATTTTCGTGGATCAAAGGAAAATTTCATTATCAATTTAATTGATTCGCCTGGTCATGTGGATTTTTCCAGTGAAGTTTCGACGGCTGTGCGATTATGTGATGGTGCCATTGTTTTGGTATGAAAATACGAATAAGAGAATTGTTTAAAAAAAATGAAATTTCCTATTGGAAAACTGAACCACTTTTTACTATCTGTGTTTTCAGGTTGATGTTGTCGAAGGTGTTTGTCCGCAAACTCGAATTTGTCTGAAACAGGCGTACATTGAAAATCTCAAACCAATACTTGTGTTAAACAAAATTGATCGATTAATTTTAGAAAAGAAACTTACCCCACTCGATGCCTACGTGCACATTTTGCAAGTTCTTGAACAAGTGAATGCAGCAATGGGCAATATTTTTGCTTCGGACGTATTGCTCAAAGAAGTTAAAACGAGTAATGTACGACTAATGTGCCAGATTTATTTCAAGTCAATTATTTTTGATTCAAAATACTTTTGCCATTTTTATCTCATGTAGAACGATCAGATTTCTGCTTTGGAAGACTGCGATGATTCTGCGATATATTTTACACCAGAAAGTGGAAATGTCCTGTTTTCATCGGCCATCGACGGTTGGGCTTTTCGTATTCGAGACTTTGCTGAGGTATATGCAAGCAAGCTAAATATTTCTGTTGATAAATTGGAGCAGGTATTGTGGGGTGATTATTACTACAATACCAAAAAGCAGGAGTGTATGAAAGGTGCACAAGAGAAAGCGAAAAAACCAATGTTCGTGCAGTTCGTATTGGAAAATATATGGAATTTGTATGAGTTGATTGCCGTGCGAAAAGATAAAGAGAAAATCCCAGACATCGCTGAGAAATTGGGTATTAAAATAACAACACGAGATTTACGTTCGACCGATCCAAAAGTGCATATTCAATCAATTTTTTCACAATGGTTACCACTTGAACGAACTTTACTTGAAATGGTAGTACGTTTATGTCCCCACCCCGGAAAACTATCCGACGAAAAAGCAACGCAATTGATGTGCTCACTAAATCAAAATTTTGAAGCACTTCCAACACAAACACAAGCATTAAAAACCGAGTTCATGAATTCCAGTGCTGAAAGTGAGACTGTGATTGCCTATATTTCGAAAATGATTGCAGTAAATAAATCAGTATTACCGGAAAATAAACCAAAACCACTAACACGCGAGGAAATTGAACGAAGACGTGAATTGGCAAAACAAAGGTTACAACAAAGAAATAACGAATTGGAAGCAAAATTAGCCGGTATTTCATTGGATGACACAAATTCAAGTGAAAATAAAAAAGAAGATGAAACTAAAGATAAGGATCAAGTCGATGAAATTCCAAAGGATGAGGACGATAACATTTTCATTGCATTCGCCCGGGTGTATAGTGGAACGCTGAAAAAAGGCTCAAAAATCTATGCATTGACACCGAAACATGATCCCAGTTCGATTGTTGAGTGAGTTTCTAATAAGAATAGTAGTTTTTCTTATTATTGATTTTGTTCTTTTCTACCATTTTTTAGTCTGGCCGACCCAACGTCATCGCCATACGTTAAAGAAGTAACCATCGAAAATTTGTACATGTTAATGGGCAAGGAATTGGAAGAGTTGGAAGAAGTGCCGGCCGGCAACATTGTTGGCATCAAAGGATTGCAAGAGCAAGTGTTGAAAACGGCAACCTTATCGAGCAATCCATTTTGTTCGTCATTTTGTGATTTAACTATAATGGCCACTCCAATTTACCGTGTTGCCGTGGAACCAAAAAACATCACCGATTTACCGAAATTGAAAAAAGGATTAAAACTACTAAATCAAGCTGATGCCTGTGTTCAGGTAATTGTCCAAGAAAATGGTGAACATGTTTTGGTGACATTGGGCGAAGTTCATTTGGAGCGATGTGTTTACGATTTGGAGCGTGAATACGCAAAATGCGCAATAAATGTGTCGCTGCCAATAGTACCGTTGCGAGAAACAATTGTAAGACAAGCCAAACTTGATATGGTGAATGAAGAGATTGTTTTGACCGCCGAAGAAAAGAAAGCAGATAAAAGTGTTGTAATTCACACGGCAAATCAACAATGTTGTATTAAAATGGTGGCGCTTCCATTGCCAAAAAATGTTATTGATTTAATTGAATCAAACTATGAACTTTTGAGATCAGCTACACAGATTATTGATTTAAGCGATCGCACAAAGAATCGGCTTAAAGAATTCCGTGAACAGCTTGCGGTGGCATTTAAAGAAAATGGCCAAGATCAAGACATTTTCCAACGAAACGATTTAATTGATTTAATTTGGTCATTTGGACCGAAAAAGTGCGGCACAAATATTTTAATCAATTTAACCGATTTTAAACATCAACATGTTTGGAGCTCATTTGACGGAACGGCCAAATCGAATTTGAATGATGGATCGGGCCGAGATGCAAGATATGATTTGGAAAATTCACTTTTGAACGGATATCAATTGGCAACAGCAGCTGGACCGCTGTGCGAAGAGCCAATGCACGGCGTTTGCTTTTTGGTCGAGGAGTGGGTCATAAATGAGAATGATGAGTCTAGTTTGTCAATTGGATCGATTGCCGGTAAGCCTTATTTCAAGCATTGCATTTAATGTTTTATAGTCAACTTTTTTTTAGCTCGAAATTTACATTTAAGTTAGAGTGAAGCAAAATCAAAATGTGATTTGTTATGTTGTTTTTTCTCGTCAGGTCAACTTATATCACTAATTAAAGATGCGTGTCGCAAAGCCTTTCAAAATCAACCACAACGCTTGGTCACACCCATGTACAGCTGCTCAATTATCGTTTCAAATGAAGTTTTAGGTAAGTTACCTAGTATTTTTATGCATAAATATAATAAACGTGTATGGTATACGTTCAATGCTGGAATCAATCATAACAGAAACACTCAATATTTCCTTGTAATGAAAATCCGAAAATTAAATCAGGCTTTTCAGTTTTGCCATTTTTATTTCTTTTTATAAATAGAATCGATCTTATGAATTTAAAACTTAAATCGTAATTTCATCATCATCATCAATCATCATCGTTCCACGTTACATATATGTATCATGATTGTCAGTATTTTAAAACAAAATTGCCTAAATCGAACAAAAAAAATTAATTTTAAAATAAATTAATATAAATTAATCCTTATGTATAGAAACTGTTACAAAGTATTACATCTCGGTTAGTTGAGTTGAATGTTTGAATGCGTGTTGATAATACTTTTGAATACACATATATATATATATATATTTATAAAAAATTGTAGTCTACTATTCGAAAGTGTGTGTGTTTTCAAGACTCGCTTTTTCTTCAAATTCTAAAACAAATAATTTATTTCATTTTATGATTTAACTTCAATTTCATCATTTTTAATCGATGTTTCCAAGCCATTAAATTCTCGTTTTGTTATTTTTTTTCTCTCTTTGCAATTCAAATGTCGAGCAAATTGATTCAATTTCAAATAGTTTCAAATTGTTTAAAATTACACAAAATATGGAATTGTATAAAAAAAAGTGAAGTTGTGGCGTGACGACGTGGTTTCGATGGAGAAGTGGAAGTGGGAAAATTTGTGGATGGCATTTTTCCTTGTGTGAAAAGTCTTATTTTTGTTTGTTCAGGTGTCGCCTTTATTTGCTTATTGATTTCTCATAGCATTTTCGTTTAAAATTTGTGAAAATTCGATGGTGAACACAGTGTGACATTCAGTTCAGATCAGTTTTTTTGTAAATCATTTTATTCACTTAATCCCATTGAATGTCTTTGATTTGTTGGCTAATTTCATCCCATGGAATGTCTGGCCAATCGGATCGTTTGATTCGACTACTTGGTTCGAATGTTGCACTTTCATCGATGTTCCGTTTCTTTCGACTCGTTGTGTCTGTGGCTGATTCCGTTGGTACGCTATCAGTCGATGAAATTGTTGTGCTGTACGAACTGGACAATGCGTCGAATGTACTCGATGGAACTTCTTCTCCTTCGTTTGAACTTTCATTTAATTCTTCTTCTCGAGCCTCGGTATTTGCTGGAACTATACTGATTCCTCGGGTGGTGAAATCGGCCGAATCGGACGATTGAGTTGATAGATTTGATCCATTTTCATTGGTTTTTTGTTGTGCCGTCAGTTTTGAGAGTGTATGCTTTTTGAAACGATTGTAATATGACGCTTGTGATTGAAGGTATTGATTGCGTTTTGGCGGTACAGGCCGTTGAATATGATATCCATTGTTCACTTCGCCCGACGGTTTCACACACATCATTCCAAACACTCGAATGCCCGGTACACTCGCATACGTTGGTTGATCGTGTGCCATCGGCCCCTCTGTGTTTTTTTTTAATTGAACAAAAAACGAATTCAAATATCATATTTCGGTTGGAATTTACATTTTCGAATCATCAAATGTTAAATGAAACAATGATGATATATATTTTTCATTTGAAAAACAAAACACTCACCCAAATTGTATGCATCGGGACATTTGCAAATCACCAAATAGTGTGATTTTCCCGTTCGAATATTTTGCAGTGCCAACAAAGACCAATCACGTGGTGTGCGACACTCTCTCATCTCCGTAGTTGCTTCGCATGTTTTCGCCAATGTGATAGCCTTAGAAATCAAAGATAAAATTAAAAAAGCGAAAATTGAAAATCATACTGTCAATGCACGAACGATGATGACAAAAGATGGAACAAAAGCTGACTACATTTTCAATTTATCAAATCATTTGAATACAGTTCAATTGCTTTCTGCCGTCATCGCAACATTTAATTGAAAACAAACACATCACGTTCATGTAAAAACGGCATCATCACACAAGTGTGTGTGTGTCGACAAACGGCGTAGTTTTTTAACCTTTTGATTTTATTCCAAAAACTAACTCATGACCTAATGAATTGCTACTTGTATTACGTTTTATGTGTTATAGTACATGTATGTAATCGGCAATGTAAGCGCTGAGAGACAAACAATACAGGACGTCAGCCAATGTTAAAGTGAACGATGACGAAAAAAAAAATCAAGAACACTGGCGGCATATTTATTCAGTACACTTGAATTTAAACCGAATAAAACAACAGAAAAAGAAAAGAAAACCAATTTTTCTTTCTGCATCGTTTTTCGTCTATGACTTTGTTTCTATTCATATATTTTTTTTATATTGCCATTTTCTTGCCACTATTAATATCTGTGCATATTGTGTTATGTGTATGAGAGTCTCAGATGCTGAAAGAATAAAGGTAAAAAAAATGGGAACTTATGGAAAAACGACGTGTGTGCGCGCGCACACGAAACAATTCCACAATGTTCGCGAAATGTTCTTCTTTTTTTGTTTATTTCTGCTTCTTTTGTTGTGTTTTAGCTGACGTGATTTTATGTTTCATCTATTCCGCTCTGCAGTCAAAATGTTGTACATGATTCTCTCTCTCTCTATCTCGTTCTCCTTCAAAATATTTACTCTGTATTTATGTATATGACCTAAATCTTATCATTGCTTGATTACTTCTATTCGCAGCTTCTCTTCTGCTCTCGATGAAAATGTATAAATTATACGAGAGCACAAGCGAATTCTCGATGTGTGTGTATGCACGTGTTTGTGCTCTTTTCATTCCCTTTGCCATTCGGCAATACATATAGAACAGAGGAGTAGAAAAAAATCAACAGTACTGTGAGCAGGCGAAAAAAAATTCACAACATTTGTTTATTGAGCGAGAAAATAAAGCATAATATATGAATACATTATGCACATTCATACACATCTTTAGGACAGAGCCCAAAACATCATTTTTATTTCCTCTTGATCGCACCATTTTCCATTCGATTCGAAGTTTTTGCTTCTCTTGATCTCTTGCTGGATGGTTGGTGTGTGTGTGCGTTGCAACAGTTTTCAATTCTTACGAACGATATTGTGCGATGAGAGATAGAGAGCCGACTTTAGCGAACGATGATAATGATGATCTAACAATAAAAACGATGGCAAACACACAAAAAGCGTGTAATAAAGATAGGAACATTGTGTGTAGGTACGTAGTCATTACACACAACTAACGATGATGAATTTGATAAACTAAATTATGATTCTTTCGGAAATAATTCTGTATTCTATTCCATGGCGGAAATTGTATGTATTTGTGTATTTGTCGGCTTTCCATACATCGACAGACAGATAAATAGATAAATTTTTTTCCTTCACCATCATCATCATCATATAATGAACGACTCAAAATCTAGCAATTTATTAAAGCTCTCTTTTATCGATCGTTTACTGCGTTTCACTTCGTCATTGCGCACAGTGATGCATTTACTCCAAATTACATACGGAAAAAGTGACATGAAATAACTGAGTACATCAGCATTTTCTATGCAACAACAACCGAATTGAATGAACAAGCCTTTTATCCGTTTGTCTCTCTCTCACACTCTATGCTCGGTGCCAAATTTTTGTGCGCAAGATTTTTCATTTGGCACGATTTTTGATTTTGTCTTGTCAACGTCTAGCTGCCTCTCGATCATTTTTACAAAACAAAAACGTTTAAATTGCAACTGGAGGCGAAAAAGTCGACTTAATTTGCGAAAAAGTCACGTTATTTCCTCTCTTCAAGACGATGGGAGATACTTACTCTTTTTTGCGGATCGCCAATCAATTTCGTCGTATGCAAATCATCCTCATCAATACTGGCCGAACATGGATCGCGATATCTGAAACGAAAACGGAAAGAGAACGAAAAAAAAGAGAAAAAAAAGACATAACGAATGATTGTAAAATTACCATCAGGCCACAAAATAAACATCATAATTCATATCACACAAAAGAGACCGTAATAATACTAAATAGGGAGCACCAATGTTGAGGCGAAGAAAAAGAAACAAAATTTGATACGAACGTGGCGTTCTTTTTACGTCATTTTATTTTTCAATCATCTTTTGCTGCAATTTCACACGATGGCAGAATAGATGTGTGCATAATGCGGAACGATCACGCAGTCCACATTGAACCAGATCTGTCAAACGATTCCGAAGACAAAAGTGAAAGAAAAAACACTAACCGCTTGACAGAAATCAATATGTACGTGTTGCTTTTTTTCTTGCATAGTCGTCTTTTTTTTACAATGGATAAAATAGAAAATAGATTCTACCCGGTTTTTATGGCATTTCTTACAATGAAAGTTTCAAATTATATGCCTTTTGGCATTTTGAAATTTTTGAATTGTTTACAATCGAGCATCGCACTGTGGCTTACTCGATTGGTACGCTGTCTATTTTTCTGTCTATCTCGCCCGCTCTTACTTGATACAAAAATTTATTTCAAAACGATTTATTACCGTATAATAGACGTTTTTATTGATTGCAGCCGGATTTTGAATGGGAAATATTGTTTTCTCTATTTGAGATGAGGCAAACTCTTTTTTGTATTTGTTTTGTCGTGTAGGCGATGAGCAATGGGCTTGGTATCAATTGGATGAAAAATCGACGTGGTTCGGCTTTTTATTTAGGTTCGCGAGGGATAGGCAAAAAAGCAATGAGAATTATAAAGTACTTTGGTTCAATGAGAGATAAAAGCATTATGACACTAATTGCATCAAGTTTTATGTCTTGGGCTTTGACAAACCGATTCAATAGAGAGAAAAATATCGCAATGCAATCGATCTATACGGCAATTGCACACGAATATTGCAAATGAAGCGACCACGATTCAATCGATTCGCTCAAACTCATTATGCCAATTTTCTGCGGCAAACGCGAAATTCCATCTAACTTCCAATTTGCTTTTTTTTGTTTTCGTTATTTTTTTTTCTTCAACTCAAGAACATTGATTCAAATCGAAAACGTGATTATCGTCTGTTTCAAATCAAACAAACAAACGAAACGAATCGAGTCCGGGCAACGATCGTTTGAGTGAAAAGAAAAGCATGCATCTAACATGTAAATTAGAAAAAATACTACGTAATCTGTGTGTTTGCTTGTAAGTTGTAGTTGCTGGTTGTTGTTTTTTTTTTTCTTTACCTGGATGGACACGCGCATAATGGTTGCGTGTAGTTGAGTCTCACGTAAACTGTGTTGCATACCTGCGTATTTGAATGGAGTGAAAAGAGGAAGAGAATGAACATCAGAAAATAAATAAATAAAATATACCAACAACGACTATAATAAGAAGAAATAGCAACAAAAACATTTCAGTTAAAGTTAAATTGAAACTAATAGAGAAAAAGAGAGAGAGAGAGAAAGATAGTAGAAAAGAAAAAGAATCGTCGGCCAAACGGCCAAAGCACAAGAAATGCAATCACAAAATGTATCAAATACAAATCAAATGCACGGAAATGCAAAATGCACCGGCGCACCCAATCACAATTTGCGAGCACGGCCAATCAAATTGTGATGCACCATCGTGCCAATGTAATTCAATCGAGCAAATCAAATTGTGGTGAAGATTTTTTTTTTTTCATTTCTTGCGCGGCCAAAATCAAGCCAAGAGCCGCTCTCTCGAATGAAATGATTCGCGTACCAATCATTCGGTGTGCGCAAGTGCGCAGTGCAAAGTGTATACGATACATTGTAGATAGTAAATCGAATCAAAATTATGAAAGTCCATTTAACGATCTATTGGCCATTTTGCTAATATTACAGAATTTCAATTCGCATTGCTTTGCACAAGTCGTTGCACTCTTTTCGGCTATGCGATGCACATCAGAAAATTAGAGCAATAAAAAGTGCTCATTTAGATAAAAAAAAAAAAAAAAAAAAAAAAAACAAAACAAAAAATCAAGATCCGTATCACCAAACAGTGTGCTCGTTCGTTACATTTATCACACTTACGTTAACGGATGGCTACACATCAGTGTGAGGAGCCGAATGCGAATGTTATTTTATTATTGTTGCATTGGATGGCTGTGATGTTAGCGAGCCACCTCGAGCGAAAAATCGAATCAACGCGGTGTCGACACAAAAGACATCGTAAAAAGTGATTTCATCTCACGGACATTAACAGCACATACACACCACTGGCAAATTGCTAGTTCGAAGTTGATGGTTTTTTATTGTTTTACAACACCTTGAATGCCGAAACAACATCGGCTATCGCATGTTTGACGTGAAACATTCATTATTGTTGTGGTTGTTCGTTAAATGAATATTATTATTATCAACACCATAAATATGGAACAGTGATCACCGATCAGAAATTGATTTTTCTTCATTTTCTACATTTCTTTCTCTCCCTTCCACTCTTTCTATTGCACTCATGTTCGATTGCAATTGAATCAGGTCGAATGCGGTGCGAATAAGCGAGTAAGCGCGTTTTTCCCTGCACAGATTCAATTTAACCAATTTCCAGTCATAATATTTTTTCAAGGCAAAGTTCAACATCGATTGACCTTCTTCGATTTTTTTTCCAACATACCACCATTAGATAAAACTTATAGTACATTTCTTTCGCCAATGATAGATCGGTTGATATGAGAATTTCTCTCGACGGTTGTTGTTACTATTTTTGTTTTCTTGCTTGTCTGAAATGAAAGTAAAATGGGCGCCACATTCTTTTTCACTCTTCATCAAGTACAAGCGATATATATATGTACGAAAATCAAAGTAAATTTTTGATCATGGCGTTCGTGCATCCAACGATTCGATTCTCATTGTTCTAGGGCCATAAACTAGTTTACATTCATCGATGGATGAATCGTATGTGTGTTATTTTTTTGACGGGTCACAACAACGATGCGATTTTTTGTGGTTTGACTTGTCAGAGGTGCTGATTATTATTGGCGATAAATATGCTTTGGTGTCGTCGAGAATTGTATACATTCGATTTTTTGTTTTGTTTTAAGTGCATAAATTATGGCAAGGGTCTTGAAGATGTTTGATGATAGCCCAATTTGAACGTGATGATGTGTGAAACTCTGAGAGAACGATTTGACTCTTGTCACTCAACTTTCTATTTTTTGCTGTTGTTGTTGAGCTGGCCTACGATCTGGCTGTAAATGTGACTGCTTTATGTGCTTTTCTAATTAAAAACAAAGAGCCGCACATCGGTGTTGTTTTTTTTCTTCTCTTCTTGCAATTACTTTTACCGATAAATTTCAATACTTATTTCATTAACTCTTACCTGTTGAATGGCGCATTCGGGTAATACGTAAATATGTTGATTATGTGGATAAAAGTGATACTTAGTCGGTTTTATTGACTGTGGCTGTAAAAGAAAGGTTAGAAGAAAAAATCCTAATTAGAAAATTTATTAAAAACTTGCAATATACTATTGTAAATCGGAATGAGTGAAAGACCCATATAAACAGTGTGTAAATTTTTCCAAGTCGATGAATGAAGTGCTGGCCACAAGAGCACCGTATAAATTTCAAAACTTATCGAAAAGAAAGGAATTTATTTTACGAGTATTTTGCACTATTCGCATGATATTTCCTAGGCCTATTACACGTTTTAAGAGCAAAGAAAGTATTTCCACTCGTTTGAAATGCATAGAACTTGTTACACCTACATTTGGGCACACTTACTATTACACGTGCTGTGCGCCTAGTGAAAAAAAACAATCAATTGCGCGATAAATCATTTCAAGTTCAATCTTGATTATTGAAAAAGTTGAATACACACACACATCAGTCCAACGCAAGGAAAAGTGGCTTTTTAAAAAGACAGCCAATGTAAACGTTTATTGTAATAATAATTTTGCCGATATTTTCAGTTTAAGTAAAAGATTAATCGATTGGAAATCGCCCGGTTGTGAGATTTAAACAAAGAAGTGTTTTGGAATTGAACGCGGTACCAGGAAAATAAAATGGTACCTAAGTAAACAGAAAATCACACGATCGACATGCAAGAAACGGTGCTACACTCATTTGCGCTAGGCTAGCGGTGAAAAATGTTTCTGAATCGATTTATTGCAGTCATTTACAATACGTTGCCGAACAGTAAATCCATCTGCATAATTCATGACTGGCATAACCCAATTAACATCAAATGAATAGTTTTTCGTGTGCTTATCTAATGCGAATAACGTGAGACGAAGTCAATTTTAACTACTGCGCTTAACGAGTAATATGCACAATGCAACTGACCCGCTGCGCCCCAATGTGAATTCCCACGTCAAGCTAAAGGATATATATTTTTTATTTTCATTTCGAACATTCAAAATGGTCCGTATATTCTCATTTTGGGTATATTCATATAGAATGCATGATTCTGTATGCTTTTACAATAGAAAATCGATGTGTTGCTTTTATTCAGCGTCGATTAATTGCTTTCAAAATAAAATCCAAATCACGTTCAATGATAGTGAGCATGCGTATCACACGATTTGAAATGATCACTTTCAAGATCACGCTCACTTCCTCCACACGCGGTCAAAAGAGAAATTTTCATGCAAAAATTCATGTCTGGTAGCACGAAATGGCGCGTGTGAGAGTGTGAATCTTACGGAACCGCAAAACAAAATTTGTCAAAATGAAACGTAAAGCATTTGCAATAAATCATTTGTGTGGAATCACATGCGATGATCACGATCGAAAATCAGAAAACCAAGCACGAAGAACCACAATATAGAAAACTAATTGAAAAAAAGGCAAAACGAAATTACAGAACATCTATTAGTGACAGATTACGATTCTCATTTTCACTTGGCGCCGAACCACCGCAAATCGACGTGTGAAAGAACAATAACGCAATTTAAAGTAATGAAATTAAGAGGTTGCGAACCTTCTCTGCCACAACCATTCCAATAGAATCATACATATAGAAAAGTATTAATTTTCTCTCTCTCTCTCTCTCTCTCTCTCTCTCGTTCGATGTGCGCAAGCATTTGGTTCTTTTGTTTTACTCGGTTTTCAGGTCGTATCAAAAAAACTGTCGACGCTCGACAATTTACTGTTTTGAAAGTTACACCGCAACTCTGCTAAAATGCCACTGCCATTTTCATTGAAGAGAGACAGTTTTGTCAGTTTTTTCAACGCATTTCCGTTGAAATTATTGCCACGATTCGATCTAATGAAACATGCAACAGATATACGGTAAAACAGAAATGAGATCGAGTTAATAAAATAATTTAAATAGCGGCCAGTTGGTCGAGCAATTTTGTTTTGATTGGCGCGGGAGAACAAGTTAATCTTGATTTTATTGAGCCTTTTATAAAACCCATTTTATGCAAATAAAACACTCAACAAATGATTAAGAAACTATGGCTCGTTGTAGAAATCTGATTATCTTTCTCTCTCACTTCAAATTGACAGAAATGCTTTTTTTTCGCAAATTATCACCTGAAAATTTTCTCTTTTACATTCTATTGTGATCTCATATGCTTTTTTCTCTTATTTTTGAATTTGGCAATTTAATTTTGATCTCATACATAACAATGAAATTGCTATGGCATTATTGCCAAATTCAAATGAAAGTTCAAGATTAAATGATTTTGAAAGTGAACAAAAACCCGAACACACATCGAAAATGGAATTCTAGATAATTTTTGGGAAAAAAATCTGCATATAGTTGCGTTGGTGGTATTTTCGTGGTAATTAAATGAAGAAAAGTGAAAAGTGGCTTTCAATTTCATATTGCATTTGAAGAATATGCCGCCCGAAGTTTTCACTTTTTCGGCAATTTCAAATGAATCAACAACGTCCGATTTTGGTAAGACATTTCTTTCGAATATCTTTCGATTCACCAAAATCGAAACAATATCGAATACGATTTTCCTGGCTTAAGAACTGTCCGTACTGCTTTGTGTCGTGATTTTTCAATGCTGCACAATAAAAACCAGCTCCTCTATAGAATATCAATTCATATTTTCGTAGATAATTGAAAAAAAGAGGTATGAATGTTTGACCAAAGCTGTATCATTTCTATGGGCATGATTGCCGCCGAAGCATTCAGTATTATCCCATTGATTCGATGCTCATTCGTTTACTTATCTCTATATGAAATGAACAAAATTCTGTATGGATAACAAGCGTATTGATTTGAAAGTAGATTTTTTTCTCTCTTATGCCGGTGTGTATCTAATTCAATAAAACAGCGATGAGAAGAAAAAAATTGATTTTAAATGCTGACCGAAAGAGATATTCAAAACATGCATTTGCCATTACAATGCTACAGACCGAATGAAGCGTTACCAGAACGTGCAAACCAGTAAATCTCTGTGAAAGAAAAAAAAAAAACCATTGGAAAGCAAAAAAAATGTGTGCGCGATTTGTTTTCGATATGTACACAGCGTCCGAGTCGTACGTGCAATCAAAATTGGTTGGGGTTCACCGAAAATGATGAAGAAAAACACTGAAACTGCAAATAACATTACTTTCTTTCAAAGTTATTAGAAGTTATTCTTTCCCAAGAGAATTTAATTGGTCATGGGCTTTGGCATTGTTGAAAATTGCACAAAATGGCAAAAGAACCGAAAACGCCAAAACCTTCGCCATAGTTCACAGCACAGCACATCAGAAAGTTCAAAAAATTATCGAACAGACGATGAAAGAAAAGATGCACAAGACACAATAGCGAACAAAAAGTAAAATCTTCTACTTCGCGTGCAGACATATCGACAGAATTGAATATTCACGGTATAATTTGTGCATTTGCTACGGACTCTTGCACAAGAGTGCAACTTTTACGAGTGAAAGTCACATTGTTTTCCCGAAACGTTCAATGCTCAAAAAACCACTTTTGAATTCGCGTAGATGTGAGCGTGTGTTTGCGGCACTAAAATCGATCAACCGTGCACAGTGATTCTTTTAGCCCCCACATGCACATAAAAAACAACAACGCACAATAGAACTAATGATGTGACGGCAGCACACGATGTAATGTGGGCATTTAATTAATTTAATGTTCTTCACTGTGGATTTTTGTGTTCTTATCCAATTCACGTTAAATAATCACCAGGAATAAAATGCACAGCAAGAGGCGAAATCGCCAATTGAGCGGAGAGAATTGCATAATTTTTATGGGTGTGTGTATGAAAAACATAGTCATCACAGTCATTTATTTTTATTGATTCTATTGCCTCTAGTGGTAAAGGTGGTCATCTATGCCGTTGACGTACGGTTTAGCGCTGGACTTGATTTGTTATGAAGCAATTATTTCAAATGCCATTAAAATTATCGTGCACAAAATACATTCTACAAACTTCCATTTTACTGAATAGATCCAGTCACATCACATTCACTCAACACTCGAACCGTACCGTACGGACGCATTTGTATGTGTGTGTGTGTGTTTTGGCCTGAGCGTTGCGCTCATTTTACAATGGTTGAAATTTTAAGGCTATAAAATTGATTTCCCTTTTTTGAAAGTGTGAATAATTTATAGTGAAGTAGCGGTTAATGGATCTGTCATACGTTCACCGAACAGAATATGCACTAGACAAAAAAAACCAACAATTCTAACACAACTCATATAGATATATATGTTAATGATGGATTATTATTTTTTTTTAACCAACAAAAAGATCATCATCGATTATTTGCGGATTTTATTCATAATTTCACATATTTTTTGGTCTTATTTATGGATGGCATGACGATGGAAAGTGCTCATAACTGCTTGAATTTGACGTGCCGATAATATTTTTGCATACTAAATGGGATGAAATACAATGAAAAGTATACATGTCAGTGGTGAAAAGAAAATTTGTTGCACTGTGTGCACACACGAATCGGATGGGAGCAAATCCATCAAGATTTTCAGGTCATTAAAGAAGAGAAAAATACATTTAACCCATGCAATTTCCAGACAGCGTCGTGTCTTTTTTGTCTGTATATTTTTTTCTTCAAAACGTATGCCATTTTATTGTCCAAATTGATTGTATTGTAACATTTAGCGGCAACATATCAGTTTGCATGTGTTCCATGGTTAATGCCACCGCCGACGTCAATAGTCGTAAATCATATCATCCAATTTAAGAATTTTAATTTATCAAGCAAAATAAGATGAAAAAGGAATTTTACTATTTCATGCTTCGTCCATGGATCGATGAATGCAAAACATCATTAAGCGATCGCCCTTATGCACCGAAATTCGCTCCAATACGAAATTTAACGAAATCACCACGGCTGGGCTGTAAGTCAGAGTAAACACTATTGTGTTGCGCACACTTCTCACATATTCTGCGTCCCGAGCGATTGTTTTTATTTTGTTTTCGTCTTATCCATTTCATGGAAATGCTCGTAAAATACTCATGCTTTACTCGTA